TTTTATTTTTAAATGAATTAATATTTTAAATAAATTATATTTATTTCGACTATTACAAGATATGTCAAATGAACTTCATTTCTTCAAAGAAAATTGATGACCTTCATGAAATATGCATATTCGAATTATTTAGTTATCATTTGCATGTTTGTAGCAATAGAATTTCTATGGCATACATATATATACATATGTACATTCATAATAACAAATGCCGCACGCATCTTTCGCATCTCCGTTGTCACGGTCAACCAATGACCGAAGCGCTCGTATTGTCAAAGAGTCATCACAACGTTATGTTGTTGGTAGAAAATCCGAGCTGTGCCGAAAGAAACTAACAAACGATCGGCGATTGTTACCTCTTTCCTTGCTGCACGACCAGCTTCGCCTTCAAGCTAGCCTTTATATATATGTTTTTGTATGAGCTTGCATACATACATATATACGCTGATTTTTGCGAGCCACGGAAAAATATTTTAGAATTGACAAATATTGTAAATCGACAACAGGTATGTTGCCACTTTTCTCTCTTAGAACAAACACCAGAAAGGTGTTCAATTTATGATTTTTAGCTTTTGCCATCTTCGCGAAAAGACGCTTGTAGGCAAAGGCATGCTCGGGGAGATGTTACGGCGTCTGTTTYTATGAATGAAGCGAGGTCGCTTGTGGAATTTGCGCCTGCGTTTATGAATGAAATCGTATTTGTTGTGAAATTTACTACATTTGGGCTTCGCCAATTCGGCTGCCATATTGACTTGTCATACTTATGCTATTTGAGACAGTTGTTGTTTTTGTAGAACAATGTTTCAATTTTTTGTTGGTGACATATTCACATGTGTACGCATATGTATGTTTGTATGCTTGTGCATATTTGTTCGGAAGTGTATACAAATATATCTACATATAAGTATATATGAATGTATGAACATGCAGATCAATGCGCGCACATGTAATATRTTGATAAGCGATAAAATCATTATTCGAATTTCTGAATGCGCAYAWGCRYRTACGTACATAAATTTATATGAGCAGATAATAAGATTATTATATGAGCATATTCAGAGACATAAGATTAATATGTTATGATAAATTTAATTTCTATTAGTAAAAAACGTAATACAAAATTATTTATTAGTATAGTATATTATGTAAAAGTCAAATAAAATTATTAAATATACAAGCCCAAATTGATTGTAAATATTACTATGCATGCATTCCTACATAATTATACTCATACCATAATTATGTTTACATGTCAATATTGACATGCCGACGGCAAAACGCAAAAGCATACATACTTATGTATTTGCATACATTGCTATTCCCAAGTTGGAAGAAAAATTTAAGCATGAAAATATCACAATGCTGTTGTTGGGAGTATCATAAGGAGCATGCATACATATTTTTATGTCTCTTCATATTCTTGAGTATGTGAGAGAGCTGTATTTGAACACATTTTTCGCTGTTAAAAGTGAAATATCAAAGAACTTATTTTTCTTCAATATTCTCTGCTTGGGCATATATGGCATGTCATTATAGGCCGAAAATACATATATTTATGTCTCTTCATATTCTTGAGTATGTGAGAGAACTGTTAAAAATGTTAACATGAATGTTAACGTGAATTCTGTAGTTGTGAAGTGAAATTCCGTATCACAAGCTTATAAAATGTTCGACATCGAACCTGCACCTTCTCTATGTTTTAAGTTCTCTGGTATGAGATGGTGTATTATCGCACTTCTTTGTTTAATAAATTCAATTTCATCATAGGAGTATATTTTTGAATATACCTATTTGCAGCGTATTTGATTGTCTTTATAAGTTATGTATTGGAAAAGTCAAGTATTTATACTTTTACCAAGCAAAGCGGTAGCAAGAGTCTAATAAAGATGTCAATAGTTAATTAATAACATATCCTTTTGTGAATTATTTTCGTTTAAAAGTTAAAACGGTACGATTGATATTTTCTAAAATTATCTTTTTACTGTAAGGTTTATTTTACTTAGTTCTTAATTTCTTTTCTATGTTTCTATTGTTTGCTTAATCTTATCGTAGTATTGGATATTATTGTTTTATGCTAATTTTTGTATGTTACTTTCTAAATATTTTCTCAGTATTGAATATTTCTATTCTCAACCAGTTTCTTTAGTAACTTGAAAAAATGGAATGATTATATAAGGACACAGGTCTCCCTAAAAGTTCTTCAAAGTTTTTGCAACGCTTTATCTCAATTTAGGTAAAAAAGAAACTTTCCACGTGCCCGTAAGTTTGTCTTTATATTAGTGTA